TAATGGGTTTAATTTTTTAAAATTCACACAAATTTTAGCTTGGGATTGGAGTAGAATCTCCAATGATTTCTGAAATGGTACTGAATATACTTATGCCATTTTGTACTATATGTTTGTGCAAAGTGGATTCTCATCATTGGTAAGATCCAAATATTGGTCAACTCTGAAAATTTGTTCAAAATGCTCTATGTCCTGCAGCATCAAATGTTCCCCTATAATTTACTTGTTTTGTAAATTGTTTTATGTGTATGAGTATTTTGTTTGCATGTATGTCTCTGCACCACATGAGTGCCTGGTCCTACAAAGGCCGTTAAGAGGGCACTAGATCCCCTAGAACTGGAGTTAGAGGCAGATGTGAGCCACTGTGTATGTGATTGCTGGGAATCAAACCGAGGTCTTCTGGAGTAGCAGCAAGTACTTTTAAATGCTGAGCCACCTCTACACCCAAAATGTATCCTTCCTTCTTTCCTTCCTTCCTTCCTTTCTTCCTTCCTTCCCTCCTTCCTTCCTTCCTCTTTCCCTTCTTTCCTTTACTTATTCTATCTATCTATCTATCTATCTATCTATCTATCTATCTATCTATCTAATCTATTTGAGAAAGCATCTCCCTGTGTCGTCCTGGCTTTCCTGGAATGTACTATCCAAACAGGGTTGGCCTTGAACTCACCTGCCTCTGCCTCCCACATGCTAAGATTTAAGGCATGTGCTATTGTGCCCAGCTTAATTCTTTTGTATGAAAGTAAACTCCTTTCTGATCCACAGTGATGCAGATTTTCATAAAGACCCTTATGGGAAGATCCTTGAGGTTACACCTTTAGATGCTATAGAAAATGCAAAAACCAAGATCAGGTTCAGGAAGGATTTCCTCCTAATCTGCAAAGCCTTCTCTTTGCTGGTAAGCAGCTGGAAGATGCCACACTTTGTCTGACTGCAACATTCAAAAGGAGTGCCCCTTTCATCCTGTGTTGAGACTCGATGGTGGTGCCAAGAAAAGGAAGAAGTCTCCCAGCATCCCCAAGAGGACTAAGCAGAAGAGAAATTCTGTAAGGTGGATGAAAATGCAAAATGAGTTGCCTTTGGTAAGAGTATCCTGATGAATGCCATGCTGGAGATGTCATGCTCAGTCACTTTGACAGACATTTCTGTGGCAAGTGTTGTCTGACTTAACCTGTCCAACAAACCAGAAGACAAGTGATGGCATGATTCACAAAAAGATAGCAACCAAAACAAGTACATTCATCTAATTAGTATGCCAATTTGATCTAGTCTTTAAAAGATGGTGAAATTATATGTGTATCAAAGAAGTTGTCTTAAGTCTTTCTGAAGGTTTTTTGTCATTGTATGTGCATTATTGTGCATGTGTAGGCACATGGGGGGCAACTTTATGGGACCATTTCTCTCAATCCATCTTTATGTGGTTTCTGAGGTTTGAACTCAGACCATTAGGCTTGTATACTCAAATAAAGCGTTTTTACCTGCTGGGCCATCTTGCAAGCCCAAAAAAACTGAAAAGAAATGTCTTTATGATTTATTATCAGTAAATTCTTAAATTGCATGTATATTTTATATATTTATATGCCCAGGGTTGCATAAATGTTTTCCATGTAAAAAGGGGCCATTTTAAGGTGGCTGGTTAAAATTACTGCGTTCATAGCTCCTATGGCTGATACAAACATATTAAAAGCATCTAAGTCTGCCTACTTTTTTAATCAGAATTCAGATCTGTAGAGTTTGCTGGGTCTAATTTTTAATTCAACTCCACTGATATGTGAGTGAAATCATGGCATGATTATTATTTGAAAGGACAAGTGGGAGAGGCAAGACAAGATGAAAAGTGACAACCAGTGCAGTTATGTCCTTTATTCCTCTTTCAGGGGCCATGCTTACCTGGAGATGGGATGTTAAAAAGGAGATGGAGAACAGAATGACAAGGACTATCAACATAGTAATAAGAACCAATGGAAATGGAAAACTAATGCGGAGGCAAGTCTGTGGTCCCTTCACTTTATGATGGGTTTGCATGGTTACTGAGCATCACACAGATGCGGCATTTACTGAGGACATGTAATTGGAGTCATGGCACTATATCCTAAAACTCTGGACTCAATCTTACTAGGAACATGAAAAGACCCTCAAGGGGCTTCTTTGCCAGGGGGTAGACTTTGAGAGAACCGATCGATTCATAGGACTCTTATCTAATTAATGAAGTTACCTCCTTGTGGATTCATTATATAATGGCGTTATCAAGAAGTGGTAAAAGGAAGGAATTAGACCTACTTGGAGGAAGTAGGTCACAGACGCCATAGCCTGGTCCCTTCCTGTTTTCCTTTTTCTCTGCTTCTTATCCACCATAAGATGGAGAAGTTCCTCTGCTACGATTTGCTGCCACTATGATGTTCCATGCAAGCACATGAGGCCAAGAACCCTCCAAAACCTCGAGCCAAAACAAACTCCTTGAGCTATTCTCACAGGCACTTCATTTATACAATGCAAAAATAACTTACCACGACTTGTTATAATATAGAGAAGATAAACGCTGTAAGGAAAGAACACAGAAGCACCTGGACAAGGGTGATCGTTGAGATGTATACTTCCATCTGTCACCCCAAAGTGGAAAACTAACAAGAAGCTAGCAGGAGGGGCAAATTCCTGAGGTCTGGTCAAATTCAAGGAATTTCTCTCTCAGCATCATAACAATTTAATGTGAAAATCATTTCTATGCATGAAGCCATTAGAAAACCATCATTTGTGGTTATCGGAAAGAAGAAAAGGCTGTATTCGTCATGTACTTCACACACCTGGGTTACTACCACGCTATCTCAGCTGAGCGAAACAAGTTCATTTCTCAGTCAGACATCTCACACAAACTACAAGCATCTGATTTACTTCTCTAGCTAGTGGTGTCAAAATCCAGTCCTTAGACGCATCTACAAACCAGTTTCCATACTCTAGAAACGGACGGTGAAGACTTCCTGCCCCAGAAGGTGGTGTTCTGATCCACCAAAGCATAAAGGACTTGGTATCTCTAGAACATTTTTCTGAAGGTCCTTAAATAAATCAACCCCCTCTGTTTGAAGTTTATCTCCCTCCCTAAGAAGGACAAGGACATATCTTCATATACAAAACAACTCTGTGGCTCCTTTGAAAGAAGCAATCCTTCATTCTGAGGTAGAAGTGCGGCTTTTCAACCCTCCTGGGTATCTTTCTTCACATCAAAGGCAGTTCATTTTCCTTCTCCAAAACGTCTATGGTAGAAATACGCAATTCAGTATCAACCACCAATCAGCAAAGCATGATGTATATGCATGTGTGGATGAATACGATGTACAAGACTGCACGGAACACACGCACATGTGGGTGCACAGACATTTAGACACACATAGTTATACAGCTTATTGAAAACAAATAGTTTGAAAAGTTAACATATAGTTACCCTTAGAACAGTGTATAGCAATATAGATTTAGATACATGCTTTTATATATGCATTCAAACATAACATATAATAGGTACAATTTTCTTTCACTTTATATTTTGCCACTATAATCTCTCTAATGGTATTGATAACTACTTTATGTCTCCTTTCTGTGATTGAAAAATGTTCAAAGCCTGTGTTTTCCTCTGTAATAAGCGCTTTGAATTAAGACCTGATCATCTTTCTCCCTGAAAATGACCAAGTTTCCCCCCCTTCCAAATTTAAGCATCTGGGAACAGAAGAGCTTGGGTCACTAACCCTGGCTTCACCTTGCAAAGTACTCTGAGGATCTGTACTTCCTTTAAAATCATTCACAGTTCTATATGGTTATGCAAAGCACCATCTGCACAGACTGGTTCCAGGGTTAGCATGCTCCATACTTAGTCAAGTGAGGACTTAACGAACTAGCATGTAACACAGTAGCAGAGTGACAACAACCTATTCATGTGGATGTACATCGACAGCCGAAAGCAGCATGGTACAGTAAGCAGCGATCTGCGAGCAGTGGGTCCAGGTAAGCTTCTTTTTTACTCCCCTTAGTCATCCCTTTTAAAAAAGTGTTATTACTTGTATAATAACACCAGGACCTGCATTAATATGCACTGGAGCAGTAAAAGTAGGGTGCTGGGCAACACACAGAAGCCAGTCGCAGCCTGTGTAAGTGGCCTGGTGGCAGCGTGGACTCGTCTCGAGTACACACTCACTCACGTTAAAGTGACCCACAAAGTACTGTGGGGCTGTGGGTGACGCTTGCCTAGCATGCAAAAGCCCCTGGCTTTCATCCTCAGAAAAACCAAAAAATGTAGAGCAACGTGACAGTCTATGTGAATCTCCTGCTCTTATGAGAGACCTTGCTGGGGCCACTGAATGGGTTTTTTGTTGTTTTGTTTTGATTTGTTTTTTTTTTTGTATATTCTTATTATAACTGGGAATGATCCTGGCCTTTTTGCAATTTCTTGTAAATGGGAATGGTCCCCAGCCCTTGACTACCTTCCTGGAATCCAGAGCAGAAGTTAACAGACTTGCCCAAAAGGGCTCCTCAGGACTAACGAATCTGATGTGTCCATACTGAAATATGTTCCAGCATGCTCCTCTGTCCTTTCTTACATGCAGAGTAAGAGACAGAGTGTACAGCCTTCCGTCTAGAACCCTTCAAGGCTAATCTCCACCTGTGGGCCAGACTCTTAAGAAAAACTTCCTACCACAGTGCCAAAACCTCTCAGGCCACAGGGCTGAGACGGGCTCGCAGTGCATACTGACGCTGTATTCTCAGAGTAAAACAATCTGTCTCTAGGCAAGACGCTCTGTTACAGACACTCTGACATGCTGATCTCCATACACCCCACAAGGATCTGCAGTAGCATAGAATGGCGGCGGCTCCCCAGACCCCCCAGAGGAAGTGCCGTTCTGAGCGCTTAGTGCCTGTCGGTCCTTGGGTGGCGGCTGGTCTGGGTGAAGCATTCCGCGCCTATCGAGCAGAACCGTTCCACGAGTTCCTGCTCTGATCTGGGCAAAGCCCACACTTACAGCCATAAATGCATTGGCACTGAGAGGGACTGCTGAGGACGTGGCACTCCAGGTGTGGCTTTATCTGGCACTCCACCGGCTCAGCTATTTAGGCCTAGTCTTCTCCATTTGACTTGAAGCTCTGTTCACACCATCTTGGGTAACACAGCACATTATTCTTCCTTATAGAAACAAACAAACTCGAATGAGCATTCGGGGTCAGGTCAGCCCTCTGAACATCTCCGACTTCCCCCTCTGATTGATGTGCCATGGTTTTCACCCCACCCCCAAAAGCCTCCCAGACTCTCAACTGAGACCTGGCCAGATGCCTCCCTTCACTCCTTAGTCTGTCCACCTTGCTCACGTCCACAGATGAACACAGTCCCCAGGAGGCTCAGTCTGCTGGCCACCACTGAGTCACCGGGAACACAGCACTGCAGCACCTAACACTACCCGCCGTCAGCTGCAGCCTCAAGCCACCGTCCTCCTCACTTCCCACCCTGTAGGAAACTCAGCTGTCCTGAGAGGCTGGACCAAAAGGAAAACCAAATGTTTCTGTACTTATATGGCTCCCCTCTGACCCAGTGCGTCTGAAATTTACACAGTTCTGGAGAACAAGAAGCTGCACACATTAGTTCCTAGGCGGCTCGGCTGCTCACAGCAGCTGCTTTCTAAAAAGCATTTCTGGAAGAGAGAATACAAACTCCAGTCCACTTCAAAGCAACACTGCCCTGGTCTACAATCACGGTTGGAAAGAAAACTTACAACTCAAGAAGGCATCGCATGTTTTATAAGTGAGTGTGGGGACAGAGCGTAAGAACCAGTAAGGTCCCCCGAGGAACCCAGCTGGGAAGCCAGTGACTAAACTCAGCAGTTGTCTCTTCCATCTCTCAACCCTACCTGCAAAAATGGGCCTTCTTGACTTCAGCCCGCACACTATGGACTACCCTCCCCTGCGACCGTCTGGTCTTTTTGAAGCACACCGGGCGAGATGCAGAGAGAGTTTTCAGGAGAAGAAAACTAGAGTTAGGGTTTCAACTAGCACAGACAGGAAGGGAAATGGAAAGCCTTATCAGAACCAGGGCTGCTGCCTGTCCTGGACAGCAGTTGTGATACATACGTCTACACTGACGTATGCCATAGGGTTCTTTTTTTTTCTGTTATAATCTGTTTATTGGGTGATTTAGCCAGAGAACCTTATATAACACATTCCTGTTTTGAATGTGGCCACATGCATGACATTGCACTCATATAAAATTCAGACGCCCCACTGCATGTCCCATGGGCCACCCCGATCATCCTTCCTTGCAAGGTTTCCATGTAAGTGATGCAAAAACAGGTGCTACCACCGGCAATAGTAAAAAGAAGAACCCAGCCATCAGTTTTAACCTCTGTGCACACTGCACAGCATACTATGCTACAAATTTAGGGATTGCAGAAAATCCTTCCATCCTGATTGTAAATCGTTGCAGGGGGCTGAGCTCTCAGGGGGACAGGAGTCCAGTTCTCTAGGACCAAACACATGTGAGTTCACTCCGGTCCTCCAGGACATAGTGCAGGGACACCACCTCCCGCCTCTGCGCTGGAGTATTGTGTGCACGACCCTTGCATCTGATTTCCTTAACAAAGAAGCAGAGGAGACAGCACTGCTTGTCGGGCCAGTAAGCACATAATAACCGCTACAGCTGAGGACCTTCCATTCATGCTAGCTCAACAAACAGTGTTATTATATAATGAATGAGTCTTTCCCGTGAACCCTGTGACTGGAAAAAGCAGCACTTTCTGCACAGTTTAAACCAGTCTTCAAGGGGCAGTTACCCCTCATGAATCCAGCGTGGCCCTGGTCACACAGAAATCCCAACAATCTATTCTCATAGGTGGCTTTGCTATCAAGGTAATTCCCCTTCTGCTTGACAATAAATAATTTCAGTTAGCTGCAAACTACACAGAGAATACACAGCTGCCAGCAAGCACCCCAATGCTGTTGGCTTTCAGCTCCATGTTTCCTGCATTGCCTAAGAAATAGGAGGGGGGGAATGGGAGGAGGAAGAGGAGGAGAGAGGGAACCGGCTATCTATGAAATACTTACAGCCTCCGAGTCTTCAACTCCATGCAGGTACAAATTGTCATACATGGAGGTCTGATAATCCACAGCACCTCTTTTAAGGCAAAAACAAAATTGCTGCAGAGACCACAGCCAGAGCTAAAAAAGAAAAGGCCTCTTTTGGGAGAGCTGCGCCTGCTTTATCAATTGCTGTGAATTTACCAGGCAAGATGCTATTCATTCACATCATACAGGGTGAAGTTATCCCCAGAGGCAGCCCAGACCTGGCATCTTATCTGCCTCCCAAATACAGAGCATAAAAAGCAAAAGCCTTCCTCAACCACAGACTGGTGACAGAGCTAGGAAAGCAGCCTCTGATTGGCTCAGCTTCCCTGCTTCAGTCAGCTGAAGAGCCTTCCCTGGGAGAGTGGAGGGTGACTCCGAGCATCCTATCCAGCATAGAGATGCTTCCTGTTTCTCCTGTAGCATTAGTTCTACAACGAACACTTCGCAATATTGAAAAGGCTGTTTGAATGTTTGGGGGGGGGAGCTATCAGATGCTCGGAACACAGTCACTCATCCTCTTGATTCGATGTACAGTTGGAGGAGGGAGCAAAGGATGGATTTTATTTTTGACTATTCGTAAAGACAGGCATGCGGATACCAATCTCCACCCAACATCTGTATTCTGCAGAGGTGATTTAAGTTAAAGGGACACCAAGTCATACAGAAAATTTTAATCTCGGTGAAGGGAAGTGGATAAAATACAGATAGAAAGATTTGTGGCATTTCTATAGGAAAAGTTTTCAACATTTTCACTAGTCTCTCTCTCTGTCTTTGTCTCTCTGTCTCTCTCTGTTTTTCTCTGTGTGTCTGTCTCTCTCTCTGTCTCTCTCTGCTCTCTCTCTGCCTTACTAGCAAGATAACATGCCTGTGTTGCTAGTGGAGTCTGGAGAGGAAGCCAAAAACCTCACAACTTCTAGATGGAAAATTGAACATTCTTTTAGTTCGATTTGTTTAACACTCCTCTTTAAGTGACAGACTCAGTTTTTCTTAGAAGCCTTCACCTGCCTCCTGTACATAACCCTTTAACAGTCCAGAACAGCAATGGTTATTCTCCACAACCCCCTCCCCCTGCTCCCACACCATACTCACACCAACTATGACAAACTCAGGTGGGGGTCACCTGAGATGGAGTTTCCCCACTTACTTATGGTTGTCTGCTAACCAGTAATGGATTCCAGCCTGAACCAGGGAAATTGACAGCTCACCCTAAAAAGAACACAGGTAAATTTGCAAAGAAACTGGGCGAGGGGCAAACAGCATCATCTAGAGAAGCTGCACAAATCACTGGGGTAAGAAATAACCCTGAAACCCCACATCAGCTTTGCCACTAACTTGCCAGCTGACCTGGCTCAGTCGGTCATCACCTCTGTGGTTTTCGGTTTCTTCAGCTGCGACAATGAGGGAAGAAAGAATTCAGACAAGGAAACTTTGCAGGTCTAAAATGCAACATAAACATTTACCAGTGACAACCCTGCTTGGTCAGCCGGAAGGCGTTGGCTGCAGTTCATGGGTGCTCAGCAAGGAGTCACTGGCCCAGACCTGGGAAGGGAGATCAGCCTCCCAGCCTGTGTCTCTAAAAAGCCTTTAAGACTAGAGCAACAAACCGAGCCATCAAAAGTCACCCAAGAGCTACGGAGCTTAGGTACACACACCCATTCTTCCAGGTTTGTGATGACCCAGCCATTAATGGCTTCCAGTCACATTTGTGGATCTCAATACCTAATCACTTTCAAATCTAAAAGATGGCAAGGTGACCTGGCCCCTCCACGCTCCCTAGATGGCGAGTTCACACAGGACATTGGCTTTGAGTCTCTGCCTACCCAGAAGACAGTGGGAGAAGAGGTGTGTGCTCAACAGTTTGCACAGAGAATCCAGAGCTGGCTCCACCCACTGCTGTGTGCTGTTGCAGGACACTGGCCAGTGGCTCACCCAGCTCCCCAGAACACGAAACTGCTAGAGGACAGGGTTGGAGGAAGTCTAAGCTCAAACTCATGTCTCGGGTCTGGCTGTATTTTAATATAGTATCTTTAACTCCTTGAGAATGCCGTACAACGTATTTGTGTCTTTCCCTCCAACTCCACCCAGATCCAACTCCTACCTTCCCCTAACTTCAAAATATTGTTTTAATGAGCTTTGAAAATACTGCCATACAATGTTTTAGACAGAATATACAGAAAGTCAAGACAAGGTCTTTTTTTATTTCTCCTCAAATTCTACAAGATAGTTCCTTACTTTCCTACTTTGACCCAGAGTGTAGCCATTTCCTTATTATTTTTAAACAAGAATCAGTTAAAGGGAGAGAAAAGAAGTTGTCTGCTTTCAGAACTGACCAAAATGGGTGAAACACAATGCTCAACGGCTCCCCCACATCGAGCCGCCTCATGCACTACCTAGTAATGCTGACACAAAGTTTAAAAGGCGGTTGTAAAGAGCCGGGGCTTGCTTCACGTGCCACTTCCACAAGTCTGCCATCTGACTCGGGGTGGGGGCTTGTCAGCGCAGAAACCCTGAGTCAAGCACAGCAGTTGTGTTACTTCTCACACCCAGCTTGGGAAGGGCAAGTGGATGTGTAGCAGGACCAGGCTGCCTCTGCCTGTTTCCCATGAATCGGAGGTAAATGTGGGACGCAGAATCACTAGCCAATAAGGGACCCCAGAAGTCAGCCAAGCAAGGCGCTTTTTCCACTCAGAAAGGATAAATTGCTTTCTTCAAAGCCTGTATTCTATACGTGCTTTCTTGGCTTGCAGTATATGTGTTCTCTTCTTCCCCTTTCCTACCACCACCTCCTGAGTTCTGGGATTAGAGGCCCACACCATCACAACCAATTCTCCTTCCTCCAGGATGATGCTCTCCTTTCCACTTTCTGTGTGTATATGTGATGGATGAATGCGTGTGCACATGTGTGTGCATATGGAAGCCAGAGGTCATATTAGTTATTCTCCTTGGCTGTGCACACACACACAAACATGGTGACCTTTCTCTACTTCACCAGTAACATGCTCCCTGCCTCTCACTAGCTTGAATGCTTCATCATGGAGGGAGTTGGGGGCTGGGAGATGGCTCATTTCTTCTGCACAAGCATGAAGACCCAAACCCAGATCCCTAGCACCCATGTGAAAGATACAGTGTGTATCTGTAATCCCAGCACTGGGATGCAGGGGATATAGTAGGTCCCTGAAGCTGCAGTCAGTCAAGCCTGCCAAACTGGTGAGTTCTAGGTCTAGTGAGAGAACACCCGCACGCTCGCGCGCGCACGCGCGCACACACACACACACACACACACACACACACTAATAAAAACTAAATTTTAAAAGCCATTTGGTCACCCATAAACTGAGAGCTACAAACTGAACAACAGACTGAGAAGTCTGCCCCCTTCAGGATTGGAACCTATCCAACCTACAAGTCACCCAAAGGTCTCAGTCTAGTGTCTGGGTAGATTCCATAGTACAGAAGAATCTTGGTGAAGGACTTAGTTTTGGAACTCTCCCAAGAACTTAGGCATCAACAGAAAAAAGAACTTAGAACTGTAGGAGGACTTGTCCATCTCTGTCCCCAAATGCTCTGCCTGGATTAGAAGTCCTGAAAGGTCCCTTGAAGCCTCCTGTTTCACAGCATCTTAAGTCCCCAGCGTTTGATGAAGGAATGCAGCGAGTCTATTAGGTTCAAGTTCGGAGAGCCACATTTCAAGGGTATCCCCCACAGCAAAATGTGCAAAGAAACCAAGGACAGGACCCTCACGCTTTTGACTGTGAGCTTTCCAGGCTGAAAGAACGAGAGGAGAGACCCACTTCCTCCTGGTTTCCTACCTCAGACTAAACTGGGCTTACTGAGAAGCCCAGAGATTTGTATTGCATTGGAATTTCAGTATCACACTTCTCTACGACTGAGTGATTTCCAAAACCACAGAGCCTCCCAGAGACTGTAACAAATGTGAGCATGCTCTCCCAACCGGATTTTACCAACACACTTCCTTTTACCTCTCCATACATGTAGTGGCTCAAGTCAGAAGATTCTACACAAAGGCATCACCTGTATTCTTCTGTGTCTAGAAATCCTGCATAGTTCTTTCAGAGCTTTGCCTTGGTGTTTGACAAATGCCTCAACTGATTTGGCGAGCCGACGAAATGGCAAGGCCCTTACCAAGCAGCCTACTATGGTAAGACATCATTTTTTCCACTTAGTCTTTGTTGGTTCCAGACACAGTGATCTACGAGAAGTGACTTTTCTTTACTGAATGCTGAGCCCTGTGGTTCAGCAAACTCATGGGTTTGTCAGGAGAATAGAAGACCAAGTATTTTTGTTTTCTATGTGTTTGGTAAGGATGGAAGAGAGGGACAAAAGAGGTACGAATAATGTGATATGCTATGAGCTGTGGGTAGCCATGTGTAAGACAGTTGGAGCAGTTTCAGAAGCAAAAGAATTTGTTACCCAACCTTTTTTCAGCCAGATTTGTCTGAAAATTTAACTCTTCTAAGCCAATATAATTATATATTCAATGGCGGGACTTTCAAGGTCCAGAAAGAAGCCAAGGAGTAACGTTTGGGCTCAGCAAACCCAGCCTTCCTGTTGGCTCCATGGACCGGAACACAAGCTTGAGGTCTTTGGCAGTTTAGCCCTGGGAATTAGAGTTCTATTTTGTCGGTGTCATGGCCTGTTGGCTGATTTTCTCCTCTTCTCTGCAAGCACCCAAGCACTCCTTTGCCTCTAGAACTCTGTGTAGCATTGCAAGGGTTAATATCATGGCTTTGCTTCTTCCCAGACTCCCTCAGACAGGTGGTGGCAATGTGACACAAAGGAGAACGGGAGAAAAACCAAGTTTAAAACCAATCAGACATCAGATTCTGCATCTAGTAATATTTGCTATCGTCTTCTGAGTTTGTCTTCAACCTCACTACCCAGGCATGTCCTGGAATCCCTCTGGGCCTTGTCTGTAAGTCCTAGAACTTACATATAAAAGGCACAGAGGAGGTAGAGTGGAAAGGATTGGTTTTTGTTTAAGTAGAATAGAAGCAAGGCTGTGTAGACTACCACCCGGAAGGTCCACCCAATGCATTGTGGGTAAAGGCAGTCCTTGGGCCCTGCATCTGCACTGGGTGTATCAGTACCTGCCGCTGTGCAACAGGAACACTATGGAGCCCGGAGGTTATGAGGAAGGACTAGATACTCAGGCTGCCTGTATCTCATCCCAAGGATGCAACACCGAACTACTTTGACTTTCTGCGCCTTGATTCTCTCACTTGCAGAATGTGGATCAAACCAAGGTTCTTGGGCGGTTCAGAGTATAAGATGCTCAGAA